ACCTCCGAAGTTCCCCAACCCACGTTCGGGCGTCTTCCTCATTCTTTCTTTCCGTTTTGCAACGAGGAGAATGCATTGCGGGAATTCGCGGCTGACGCTTCACATGTATACATACATTGTCGCAAAAGGCGGCCTGCATTCAGCATGCGACAAAGTTCAATGGCTGTGGACTGGCGGGACGTACCTGAGATATCGCATTGGCATCTATCACGGATACCCTCTTAGGCTCTCCCTTCAATCCTAGGGCATCTGCAGAAGAGCTCGTCGCCCTCATCCGTCGTCGTCCTGAAGCTCGTACCCAGCCCAAACCACCTCTGAACAACTACCGCGCCCAATGGGATGCTCTCCGCTTTCCATTCACGACATCGTTACTCGGTAAACCCCACCACAACCCTGCGCCCTTGCAAGAGGGCGTGGCCACTAATGGGCAGGGGTGTTGATTAGCATCGAGGATTACGAGGGAGGTGGTCGCGATGTTGCTCAAGGGCGTGGGGTGTGCTTGCAGAGCGTTGGGCGGATGAAGAGGTTAGCTATATCCAACGCGATGGACGACACAGATGCGGACGATGTATCGACAGAGGACAGCGGTGTACAGTTCTCACTCCCAACCGCCCCGTTGAAGATACAGCTCAACCCCGCTTGAAATGGGTCGCTTAAGTGAGCAATGCTGGCCCCTCCAAACTATCTACCCTCTCGGACGAAGAGGTGCTCGAGCCGACGGCGGACAAACCTCTGAACCCACCAACCATTCAGGCTTTCTCGCCCACTCCCAAACGCGGGCGAATCATCCTGGGTTCTGGCACCCTGCTCACCCTCCTCACGCACCAAATACGCACTATCCACGCAGACCCCACGTTGGTGGACAAACTCATCCCGCAGGGTGTGCTAGATCTCATACCCAGCAAGACGGAACTCATCACTCGCGATGAAGTTCTCCCGGAATGGAGATAAAAGCCAGGAAGAAATGATGTATCTCGCTGTGGAAGGCGGTATGCTCCTTCTCTCTGTATTTGTCTTGTCATGAACTTACTCCCATTTAAAACAAGGCGATCCCTCTATATACGACCACTCCCCTGAAGAGGTACTCTTCTTCCGTGCACCCCCATCGCTTCAGATATCTCCTCCACCTGGGCCAGGCCGACGTTCAGTTGTATCACGCTCACGCGCCGCGGTGTAGCCGAGAGCGTGATTCTGTGCTGTGGGGAGGGAGGTACAGTACGCCAGGGGCAATACGTTGATCATTTTGACGGGTGTTGCGAGGCTGTTGATTCGCTTTTGGGTGTTTCTTCGTTGACTGGGTCACTCCTGCTCCTACGTCCAAGACTTCTACGTCTTCTACCACCACCACCACCACCACCACAGCAGCAGCAGCAGCCCCATACACACCAACTCGCTATCCCAATCACTATCATCAAACGCGCGTCAATGTCCGATCAACGCGTCACACACACGACACTTGGTCAACTATTCTACAGGCACCCGAGGCGGGGGGACCAGAGCGCCCCCTGGGACTGATCGTTGTTGTCATAGGGTTATGAGATGACGGTGCAGCCGGGGAAGTGGTGTTGGATGAGGGGGTGATGAAGGGGCAGAGGGCGAAAAAGTGGTCAGGTGGGGAGGGGTGGAGGGCGAGGAAGACACCCGATGAGGCGTAGGCGGGGTTGGATGAGGGACATGTTGTAAGTTAGTTGTACTTGTGAGAGCGAGTTTCTCTCGTCTTGTTTTGTAGCATTGATTTGGTTATCACCTTAGTCCTTTTTACAGTATACTATGGGGGAGAGGACGCATCGGAGTAGCTTCTTCTAAATCTTATGGCCATCCTTGTGGACTCTTTGATTGCTCGCGGAAAGCTTTAGTGAGAAATTCGACCATCGCTTGGGACTTTTTGGAACACCTACCCAAGAAGGGATCACATATGACTGATAATCTCAAGACGCGTACACCTGGTGTTTACAAAGAGGAGGGGCAAGAGCGTAGCCGAGGACATCGTGTGACGGTCATTGTTCTCTCCCCAATCTTCACTGCATCCGGGACAGTTAAGCTGGATTTGCCGCGCTTAGGCAATTCCGTCGCCAATCCATCATCAAATATCAACGGTTAGCTTGCCAAGGGCTCTCTCGGTCGACGATTTAGTGAACTCATTTTCGGAATAGATGCTGTTATCTGCAGCGTCGAGCGTTTGATGCAGTGTGTGTGTAAAAGTTGATGCGACATGGGTAGCCGAATGCAAGGCATGTCGATGTCACAGATTCATCGTATACCCATCAGGACTGCATTTTTCTGAACCCTCACAACCACCGAACGAGGGCAAATTCACAATATGCTTGCGTTCCAGCGGAGGTTGGACCATACAGCTTTCTCTTTGAAGCGCTGCAGCCAGGTGATGGACTCAACAAAAACTAGGAGAAGGCGGTGGTGCAGAATCTGGACGGTTGAAACCTTTCAGCATGTAGTGGAATTCTGACGAAGAATTCACCCCAGAGGAGTAAGCCCAGATCAGTATTTCTGTCAAGGCGATGAATGGACTGATGGCAGATTGGCGACAGGATCTGGAAAACAACAGTTTTGAAGGTAGATTGGCGAGATCAATGTCATGCTATGTGACAGCGTGTTTAAGCTGCGCACTCGCATTAGTACTTCTTGGCCGTATTCGGACTATCATATGGTAGGTGTGAAGTCATTCGGCGGAATGCCCACGTTCACAGTCTTGCAAGTAATACATGATGTCTATCATCCTTAGGCGGTACTCTTGACACCATCCTTGACTGCCTGCCAGGAAGCCCTTCCGGACACCTCCTTGAACCAGCTAAAGAACAAGCCACGTTAACAATGGGGACGACACTCAGATCCACAGACACGTACCGATCAACGTTGGGCTTTGATTCTATGACGTTACTCTCCGCCGCAGGGAGGTATGAGCCGTATGCAACGTGAAAGATATCAGCAAGAGTGATTTCCTGCAATCACATCGGTAAGTATCGCGTCATCAGATGGTACACACGATGTGAGACTGACATCTCCAGCTAGGTACTTCTGCTTTGCGAGGATCGTGTCATACACATCCAGATGCTTGTCCAGGGCGGAGATTGCTGCCTCATAAACCGCAGGGTCTGAGGTCAATCCACGGTATCTTGGGGGCAAAAGTGTGTCAGAACGCGATACAATGTTGCAAGACCAAAAAATCGGCTCACTTTTTGAACACGTTTTCGGCAACGGCTTGGACGTGTGTGGATGGAAGTTGAAGGCTTCAATCGATGCGGCTTGCTCGGAGAGACCATATGCCTTCGGATCCTTTGGGAGGAGTGGTGTTCCTTGATCGGCGTACTTGGCCGCGATATAGCGAGCGATGGCCCTACTTTCGTACACGATGTATCCATCATCGTCCTGAAGTCGGACACCCTATGAAGCAGTTGCCTGATAAGGAGAGAGATCGAAGCTCACGATGTAGGGAACCTGTCCGAATGGTTGAATCGCGAGGTATTCCGGGGCCTTCTGCTCGCCCTTGCTAATGTTGACTGGGATGAACTCGAACGGAACGTTTTTCTCGTACAACACTGTTGCAACAGTCTGAGTGCAAGTGGAGAGGTGGAATCCGTAGAGTTTAAGAACCATTGTGAGACGCGTTCAAAGAAATGAATCTGGAGGTGATGAAGAGCGAGGTTCTTGCCTTGCTCTTCTTTTCAACATGTCGGACTGACCGGAGACGCCATACCGGCACCCATTCGTTGTAGATGGGAATTTCTAGAAGTCAAGTCAGGCCTGCAAGACTACATTTAGAGCCGAACGTCCGCGCATGCGTAGTACGGTAGGCCTAGATTTCAAAGCTGTCATAGTTTTCCGATGGAAGGCCGTGCAGCAGTGCTCGGTCAGCTGTAAGTGCTAGGCACTCAAGTTTGAACGTTGAGGTATAGCCTCAGATGCGAACATCTTGAGACAAGGTTGAGGTATAAGTGTTGAGATTCTGATGACCGTGTGATGACCATGATAATGATCTATATATGTGGTGGGATTCATCAGCTCCGAAAGGACAGTTGACCTATGAATATGAATACTTACTGGAAAAGACTCCATGGACGTGTTGTGTTGGTGTGGATTGTAAATAGAATCTGTTCCCAACGTAGCAATGTTGATTACGGCCCGCTAGTCCAAGCGTCCAGCAAGAAAATCACCGTAACCCAAATCACTTGGAATTCCCCCGAGTGAACAAAGCTTTCGCTTTATCCTTAACCTTCCTCTCCCGTTTCTTCCCCTTTCGCTGTTTCGTCACTTGGCTAGAAGTGGGGTTTTCCTCAGGTAGGGGTACAGTCGGGACTCTCCTACTCTGCAGTAGCTGGAATATCAGCGGAGAACCTGGGGAGACGATGGGCGAAACGCGGGGTAGTTCTTCGGGAGCTGCTGGGATGGGAGGGTGGATGGAGGCGGACACGGATGAGGTCTCGACTGGAGGATTGGTTGGGGTAGCTGGTATAATTGGCGAAGCAGGTGTTGGCAAGGGCGACACGATACATGGCGGAGAGATGAGTGGCGGAGAGATGGGTGGCGGAGAGGTAGGTGTTGGTATAGGTGGGTTTGATGGGGAATTTGGTATTGCTGGTGTGTCGGATGAAGGAGGCGGCAATCCAGAGGATGGTTGTTCTGGAAGGGAGATGGGCGGAAGAGGAATATGGGACTGTGTTGGTGATTTGGGGAATCGTTCTCGTACCACGTCCCAGGAATCAAGGCTATTGGAAGAATCCAGGTAACGGATCGTTTCACAGAGTCAGCTGACGTCCGTTCCTCTCAAACTGCTGAGCGCTCCGAGTTAACGCGCAGTGGCGTGCCTCAGCGTAGGAGGCACCAGAAAGGACGGCGGTCAAAGAAGAAGTGTGAGAAAAAGAAACAAAACAACGCCCTTCACCAGACTCAAGGGGACGAAGAGATGACATGCTATTTCGTTTCAGATATTCACAAAAGCAGCAGATCCACTATGGAGACACCACCAGAAACCTAGAACAAACAGTAAACTACATTGAAAGCCGAAAGACGAACACACATGCCTGGCTTCTTCATCATCATCGAAGTAGAACTTAGCGATCCCTGTCTAGCGACATTCCGGCTCTACCTTCTCTCATCCATCCTCGGCGTTCTTCGCATTCCTTGTCATCCCTCTCCCTACTATCGTCCTCACTAATCCGCACGAGATCCGGTCGTAATTCATATCCTGTAGGAGGACAAGGATCCACTGCGGCCGACGGATCGCTTTCCTGCAGCTCGGGCCTCGCCTCGCGGATCCTACAAAAGACCAACCAATTAGCTCATCGTCAAGAGGGGAGGAGTGATGTCGTACCAGGCGGTTATGCGATACTCTATGTCGGGCCTGTGTCGAATCTTGCATCGCCAAAAAACATCGGGTATGATTGAAGATCCAAAGTCCTGCCCATCGAACTATCGAATGCTGGAAGCACAACGAGGCATCTGTGCACCACCGGAGTCTCTTGGGTTGGATGATTGTCGTTAGGGCGAGCCGTCGGTAGAGCTGCGGAGTACTGAGATCTAAGTGGGGCGAGCCAAAAAGCGGCGTCGTCACGAAGTTCGGGGCAGCCGATCGCCGCAGGAGTTGGTATGGGTGAGTGAACCACCTTCTGGTAATGGTGCTTTAGAAAGGGAAGCGTCACTCAAACCATGGATGCTCACCTGATAAATAGCACAAAACGTCTACCGTTGCATGACTAGCCTCTCCTCTGCGCCGTAAAAATGTACGGTCCATTGTTCGTCGTCCTGAACGTGGTGTTACAGGGAGCTTTCCGGTCTAACAATATCCCAAAACACCTGCGTTGAGTTCATGGGGGGGTATGGTGCACGATGTGAACTGTAGGATAGATGATCAGAAGATGGACGCTTCGAGGAAAGTAGATGAAAGCGGGCCCATACATAAACTTCAGCGAACTTGACGATCGCCTCTCCGTTTGTCGTTGCCAGTGATCTTTCACTTCACTCGAAGGGTGGTTGACGTGGGTTTCCAAATCAACCGCGGACCAGGATTACGGCGATGAGACGTTCGTGGAAAACGAGGACACGAGGGCTGTGAGCGAAAAAGTAGTTGAACGAATCGGAATAGATAGCCCTCCACCGGTTTGAAAGCTTGTGCGCCATGCGTGAACTTGCAATTCCGTGTCAGGTTTACTCTCAATGAGCGATGACAGATCAAATACTCACCCAGCGAATGTCGAGCAGGAGAACTGGACAGCTCTGCAAATGTAACGAGAGATTCCCAGGCGCGCGAATGGTAAGCTAGCAAAGTTGGCGGAGATGTTGGTGATCGACGATCAAATCCGTGTTGAACGTTTGTTTTGGTCGTTGTCTCTTTCCATTACCACGACGAGTCGCCAAATTCACTCTTCGCACATATAACGACCTTCAATGCTCCTCACGCCGCCTGCCTTCTTCCTGCTAAAATTTGGGACCACTGTTACTGTACGCATATAGCCACCTCCGAACCCACATACGAGCGCCTCCCTCATTCTTTCATTTCGTCGTGCAACTTCGAGGGAATCCTTATCATAGGATCGGTACTCATTAATCATTAGCTGCATCGCGGGCATTCGCGGCTCTCGAAACTGACGCTTCACGTACACATTCTCGCAAAAGGCGGCCTGCGTTCAATATGCGAGAAAGTTCAATGGCGCGTCAGGGAATGCCAACTGCATGCTTGGCTTACGGGACGTACAGACATCGCATTGGCATCTATCACAAACACTCTCTTGGGCTCTCCCCTCAGGCGCAAAAGAACTCGACACACCTTTATCCACTTCCTCTCATCGGTCCTTGGACAGGACGACGGGAGAACCTACGCCCCTGCAAGAGGGCGTGGCCACTAATGGGGAGGGATGTTTCTTAACGTCGAGGATTACGAGGGAGTCGCGAGGTTGCTCATGGGTCCCCCAACTGAGCGAATACTCTCCAACTATCTACCCTCTTGGACGAAGCGAGCTGAAACTTCTGAACCCACCACCCATTCACGTCTTCTTGGAATTATCCTGCTGGGCTCTGGGCGGACACTCCTTCTTCCCCCTCCTCACACACCACATCCTCACTATCCACACCGACCTCGCGTTGGCAGACAAGCTCGTCCCGCAGGGTGTGCTAAACCTCAGACCTAGCAAGACAGAATTCTTCATCGTGGAGAAGTTCCCCAGGAATGCAGCTAAAAGCCAGGAAGAATCAAGGCGCGCGGAAGTGGTTCGTGTATGTTCTTTCTCTTAGAGTATATTCTCGTCATGAACTTACTCCCACTATGAAGTTAAAAGAAGCCGATCCTCCATAGGATCTGAAGAGGTAGTTTTCTCCCGTGCGCGAGGGTTCGAGCCCTTCCTCGTTTCGGGTATCTCCTCAGCCTTGGTCGGGCCAACGTTCGGTGGTATCCCGCTCACGCACCGCGGTGTAGCCGAGAGCGTGATTGTGTGGGGAGGGGTGGGAGCAGGGTACAGATGCCGGAGTATATGTTGGTTATTTTGAAGGGTGCTCCAGGGAGGGTTGTCGATGCGCTTATGGGCGTTTCTTCGTTGACTGAGCCCACTCCTGCTTCTACGTCCAGGACATCCACACCTTCCACCACCACAAAAATGACATAGACAGCAGCGCCAACTCGCTGCTCACGGTCGTATTGCGTCTACGCCCCAAAACGACTCTCCCTTTCCGAGGAGACAACAAGTTGCTCGTGCCGACATGCTCGAGCACTCTACCTGAACAGTAACTCTCTAGGAGTGGCCGTCCAGAGATCCTGGATCCAAGAACTGTGGCATGTTGGGCAGAAAATCCTAACATACATCTACCCAGCATCGTCTAGAATCCGGATCTTCACCCCCTTGGGTTCCGACCTGCGCGGGTCTCCTATTCCGAACGCCTTCACTTCCAGAGTACTGTGCCAGTGTTTCAATTGCGCATCTGCAAGGTGCTACCTGAGCAGCTCTTGTCAATCTCGACGTTTTGTTCACAATAGAGGACGAAAGCTCAAAGCACTCCTCCATCCTCTTGGCGTCCTTGTGGCTGCACCCTTCGGCTTGTTACCATCATGCATCTTGACCATCCATTTCACGTGTGGCATTACAATTTCTTCCTTGTCTCCCGGCTACATCTCACCACTTCCGCCTCCATCCTTACGGCGTTCTGCTCGTGGCTCGTTCCTTCCACCGTCCATCACCATCCATTTCGTCATTGGCAGGATATCCTCTCCTCGCCTTTCCTTCATTCTGTCCCGGCCTTTTCCATCGATCGATATTACTTGAGTCAGAGGGCCTTCATATGACAATACTGCCTCTCAACTTTCGCAATTGCTACCTGGAGCCTGCCAAATTCGAGGTATGTTTCATGGTAACGGACGACGGGGGCTCAAACCACACATTTTCCGTCGTGACCTGTAAAGCATTCGCGGGCTCTTGGTACCCCATCTCAACGATTGATGAGATTCATGGCGTTTTGCCCCTGGCAGTCCTGCGCCTAGTCATGAGCCCAAACACGCCCCAGCTTTTCTTTCCTTGCATCCCAAATTACTATCGGTTGAGGTTTCCCAATCCTAATGACGCAACCCAAGCATGTGCGACGTGCTGCCCGATGTCAAAAGGCTGTTCACGTTATCGGACGACCACACATCTTGTGAGGCAGTCACAGCTTCCCCTTTGCCTGCTCCTCATAGCTCGTTTCTTGCGCTTGACATCTCATTCCGTCGAACGATTTGTCTTTGCTGGGACTTCCTGGATCTGCTCGGATCCTTTTTCGCATCCAAACCAATGCTTCTGTGTGGTGTACTGCGTGCTACCTTGAGCAGCCTACTTCCCCAGTTGACCGTTTCGTTCATCGTCACCAACCCACCTACAGCAGCAGCCCTCTCTCGTCCTCTGGGAAGGTGGACTCGTATGGCTACCCTCACTACTTGACAACTGTGACAAGACGGTATCCCTAGAAGAGACCTATCTTTCTTATAAACGCGTGCCATTAGCCTACCGTACACCATCTCCGCCATTGGCCTATTATACACCATCTCCGCCATGTGACCGGCCACTACGAGCACCAGTACTAGTATGGCGTACCCGAGTTCCTCTTCAAGCCACCAAGCTTCTACTGAGATGCAGCCTGAGGTGGACCGCGCATTGGCTGGGTCGTACATCCACCTGATTCCTGGCCAACTCACCCATCCTTCCCTCCCAAAGCCAACCATTTTTCCTTTTCCCCCACGTTCACCCTCTCATGCAGTCCAACGGAGAATGTGTTCGCTACCCAGGTCAGTCGATCTCCTCTTCCGCTCAACCCCCTTTTAACATACCTCCCCTTCAACGATCAGATCCGAACGGGTCCATCATATCCCGTTCCAGCCACTGACGACTATGGTAAGCTTACCCACTCAGCTTGTAGCCATCCATATAACAACGTTGTAGAAGATTCCCTTTACGATTCCTCTGATGACGAAGACCAGCCCATTCACCCTCTCGCACTCGCAGGTGCCAAGTCCAGGAAAAAGGCGTACAATGTGTATTGGGGGCATAACATACTTTTGTTTTGTTACTTACATTCCAATCTAGTTCTGCTGCACTTGCAGCAATGGGGAGCGGCGTACATGGATTATGTTGTGTGGTTCCAACTTGAGAGCTTGCCAATGTAATGTTTGTAGACCGTGCGATGGCGGATGAAGTAGAAAAGATATGATAGCCTATGTATCTTATACTTACCTACAATCTTGTAATTCATGCCTGAATTCTTTCTCCAAATTCACTAAAAGATTTGTACCAGCCTTTTGAAATAAGTGAGTCATGAATCTGACAAAAAAATAAGAGCAAGTAAGTCTGAGTTTCCCGAACCAACTTCTTGACTGGGCCCTGGCGCATATACCATATGTTTAGCGGCGGGGTGGACTGGCCAGTGGTGGCATGTAGTTCAGGTGGGTAGCTTGACAGTCATCTTCAGAGTCTCAACTGATACATTGCTCTTTTAGAACCGACTTCCTCAAGGCGCTACAGTGGCTCCCACTGTGAAGGCAGCTTTGGTTGATATTCAACAAATACTCGAGTATTAGGTTGAATTTTACCTTTCAACCAGAGGTCAGTTAAAATTTAGGTTGAAAAAAATCAACCTGTTTTTCTGGTTGATCACCAACCTAAGTGTTCAACTAGAGACTGGTTGATAATCAACGTCGCGACAGTAGCCAACTTGGTGTGAATATCAACCTAAGATAGGTTGACTTCATCCTTCCTTGAAAAACTCAGCAGTATGTATGTATACCTACAATACTACACTCAATAAAATATTCTCATAACCTAATCTTACATGACACTAAATTGTAGCCTCAGGTTGGCCTCGGGTTAGCCTCAGGTACACAATGAGGATGCTGGAGTTTCCATTGACAGTCATGGGAAGTTGATTTCTCCATTTCGGAAACTATCGGGTCTGCAGTTTTACAATGCAACCATCATGTTCTCCGCTCTCCTTGTCCACCCACCTTCCTGCTCGACCCAGGTACGTTCCCTCCCTTCCAATGATAGACCAAGCTTAAATTGTACTTCACATAGGTGGGAGCGATAATGAATTGAGGGTAAGTCCATGCTCTATAACTTACATTTGCGCTAATGTTGGCTACAGGATCAAGTCCCTGCTCAGCCTAAGGCTGGAAGACACGAGATAGCGAAAACGAGAAGGCACTATGGCAGAGTAAGTCACTCCCCAATGAGTTGCTGATATCTGTTAATGTATTGTTGACGGAACACTAGTTGATGAGCACCGAATAGTCGAGGCATGGAAGTGATCATGCTGAGAGATCATGTGCAGGGCACAACCACGAGCAGGGATGAGAGGGTTGGCGACATCATGAATGTGTAAGTCTCGTCCCTGATCAACTCATGCATAAACACCTACTAATTCGCCTTTGTTGCTGGCTAGAATTGTTTGATTGGATGGTGTTGTGGTTGTTTCATGTTTGGGAGATGCTTTTGGCTTGGGGGTTTGACATGTTGGTAAGTTGTATATTTCCCTTTCCTTTCCGACCTGTTCCTCACATGCTATGCATTGCAGTGACCTCCAATGGTGTTTACCTATCATATCCTCAACCCAGTGTACCATTACTAGCAGTAGCGCACTGTTGTCCTATGATACAAGCAAAATATAATGTTTTTTATCAGAATCACTTGGTTAAATATCAACCATCATTCAAGTTAAAACTAACCAACAATAGGTTGAAATCCTTTGGTTGAATTTAGTGTTTGAAAGTTAGGTTAGTTAACTGGAAAATAACCAGACCTAACCGCAACACTAACCTAACTGCGGTTAGGGTTAGTTGATTTCGAAAATGGAATAACCGGTTATTTTGCGGTTAACTAACCGTTAAATAACCAGTTATAACCGGTTATAACCAGCCCTATTATACACCTTCAAAACGCACTTGAGAATGTCGAAAACGCTTAAAATTTGACTAAGTTACGGTCAAATCTCTAAAATATCACTCAAATGTGTAGACTTTCAAGGATAATTGCATAAATATGTCAATTCTTCACCGATTTTAGCGTTCTTGGGCTCGATTTAAAGCTAGAATATGCAGAAATAATATCTATCAAGATACATATGAGCATATTTGCCTTGTTATAACCGATTCTTTATTTTTCGGTCCTAACCAGTTAGTAACTGCAAATAACCAACCGTAACCGGTTAGTTGCGGTCCGGTTAGGTTATTTTAGGTTTCAGGACAAAGGCTAACCGGTCTCGGTCTCGGTTAGAGCCCCTGGGCACCCAATAACCGGACCTAACCGGACTTTCGAACACTAGTTGAATTCAACCTTTGGTTAGTTGAAATTGACTGGTATGACAGCCTCAGAAGCCTTAGGTTGAAAATGGCCATTTTAGGTTGTTAATCAACCAAAGTGACCCAGGTTGGTGACAAGGGTGATGAAAATCAACCTAAAAAGCGGTTGAATACGACCTATGCTAGGTTGAAAACTTAGGTTGAACTTCAACCAGCATGACCTGCACAGTGTCCTGTGATACTAGTCACTGACAAAACTCAACTGACTCAATTCTCTGGCAACAAATTGGCATATCCTGTCTATCTAACTCTTGGGAACCTACCACATTCCATCAGATGCAAGCCATCTGATCAGGCATGTGTCCTGATCACATATCTCTCTGTTGACAAGATATGCAGAGACTGCATGTCAAAGGTGGAGCAACGTGGCAGGATCCAACATCTATTCCATGAGTCCATGCGAATTCTACTTGAACCCTTGAAGGATGCTGCAAATAACAGAGTGGAGATGCTTTGCGCTGATGGTTATGTCCAAAAAATCTTCCCCGTCCTATCCAGCTATGTCGCTGACCACCCTGAGCATTGCCTGGTGTCTTGCAGCAAATACGGCACATGTCCCAAATGCCAATGCCCTGCAAACAATCTTCAAAGTCCTGACAAATACCCAGACTGCACTCAATTATGGACAGAGAAGATCATCAAAAACACCAAGGCTAATGCTTGCCAACTGTCAGACTTCTACAATGATTGCAGGGCTCAAGACATTTCAGGTGGCGTGTATGTTCCTTTCTGGAGTGGGTTTCCTCACACAGACATTCGCCACATCATCACTCCCAACATCCTACATCAGCTTTACCAGGGAGTCTTCAAGCATATCGTCAATTGGTGCAAGCAGGCTATGTCACCCAAGGAGCTTGATTGACAAATACATGCCCTCCCTCAGATGCATGGAGTTCACCATTTTAAAAATGGCATCTCTGTTTTGTCACAGATATCTGGAACTGAATGCAAGAACATGGCCAAAATCCTTCTTGCCTGTGTTGCTGATGGCATTCCCACATAGTGTTGCCATGGCTCGGCTAGCCGAGAGCTGGCTTATGTAAGCCAGCTAAATTTCCTTAAGTGGCTCGGCTCAGCTTTTAGCTGACCCAAAGCCGGCTCAAGCTGGCACATAATTCTCAAAGTGATGTGACTATAAATCTGGGTAAATTAGATGCTGTATACCTGATAGATACATAGTGTAATGTATATTTCGAGCACAGAACAATAATAGAAACCAAATGATTATGAAAATAAATAAAAAAATAGGGGAGGATGTGAGATAGCATAGAAATAGGAGCATGTATGGATGTCATCTCTTCAGCTCCTTCAAATACGACTAGAATACAATTTAAACGAGCCTTCAGATGAAGAAAAATGGTGGAAAGCTGACTGAGATACAGCTCAACTCCCCCCAAAAGAGAAAATGTAACATATCTCCGGAACGCGGACACGCAAACCTCTCGTCTCTTCGGGACCTTCAAATGACACTAGAATACGTTTTAAACGAGCCCTAGATCATAAGAAATGATGGAAATTTGACTGACCTAGGGTACTCACTCCCCAAAACAGAAAATGGAAGATATCTCCAGAACGCGGACACGCAAACCTCTCGTCTTTTCGGGACCTTCAAACAACACTAGAATATGTTTTAAACGAGCCCTAGATCATAAGAAACGATGGAAACTTGACTGACCTAAGGTACTTGCTCCCCAAAACAGAAAATGGAAGATATCTCCAGAACGCGGACACGCAAACCTCTCGTCTCTTTGGGACCTTCAAACAACACTAGAATACATTTTAAACTAGCCCTAGATCATAAGAAACGATGGAAACTTGACTGACCTAAGGTACTTGCTCCCCAAAACAGAAAATGGAAGATATCTCCAGAACGCGGACATGCAAACCTCTCGTCTCTTTGGGACCTTTAAACTACACTAGAATATGTTGTAAACGAGCCTTTAATGAAGGATGGTGATGGAGAATTCACAAAGATAGAGTACACCCTCCTGATGAATCATGAAACTTAGCATGACAG